CATTTGCACCCCTACTTGTATAATATACAGTATAGGGTGAAAATTTAAAAATGTCACTCTAGATCAGGTGATACTGTATACTTTTCTGACAGAAGAATTCCTTTTGGTTTGTTCTAATGCAACATGATTGGCATAACAAATAGTATTGCACATCAGGTACTTTCAATCATTCATCAGAAATAGTTTTGAGCACAGTCTGTGGTGTTTTCTTTTTATAAAAACAGGATATTTTGCCATGTCATTGCTAAAGTTATTATGAATGGTATATTTTAAAAATAGTATGTAACATTAAATGAGCAATACTGACATCTACAGCTGTGACAAGAATGAAATTCCTACAATCTGCATACAACAAAGTACAAAAGTATTTGATGACCTTTTAAGTCCTCTACTAATATTGACCAATAGTTCACCCAAGTAATGATTCTCAGTTCATTTTAAAGTTTCTATTTTGGAACAATGTATCAGCAAATATTTAATTTCACTATGTTGTTTTTCATTTAAATCATAAATTGAGTAAATTAACTTCCTTAAAGTATTTGAAGACCTCTGAAGTCCTCTACAAATATTCAATATTCATTTATTTATCTCAGTGCTCCAAAGTTGGCAAATATTTTTAAGTTTGATATTGTATTTACCCTTTATTATTGACATGCTACCTAGCTACTGATTCTAAATGGTGGTTGGTTATTTTACTATAACTTTTTTATTTAAGGATGTTGTACTTTTCTTTTTCAAAAGGGATATTTCTAAAATATAGATTGCAGTTGTTAAAAGATAATTCTTGACTCTTAGTCATATCAATATTTGTAAAAGATTACCAATGCCTGAAATACCAATTTTGACCAGAGAGTGAAAAGTGAAGCTTGAGAAAAAGTACAATAATTCTTATTGAATGGATTTGCCAAGACAGTTGTATTAAAATATAAATTTGTAGACATGATATAATCCATAACCTCATATTAAAGACATAAGAACAGATGTTAGTGTGTTGGTAAAAAATGTTAACTTATTGGATATCATTTATTTTGAATGACAAGACAGCATCTCTTTTTATAGAGCGATATAAATTTAGAGTAGGTAAAGGGTAACACATTTAAATAATGATTGTAAATCATTTAATGGAAAAATGGTACATCTTAGATTAAGCATCTTCAGGTTAATTACATGTCTAAATGCTCCTTTTTCTATAGGCTGGATACTACTCTTCTCTATTCTTAATTGGGTAAGATTTCTCAAATATTTAAAATAATCTTTCCTTAAACTTGGATATTTGAACCAAACAAATCCAAAGATAATAGATTACTACATTTTAATCTTACTAGAAATTTTAAACCAGTTAATCCACTTCTAGTTAAATTAAGATTTTGTAACAATTGAAAAATGTAGCATCTATAGCTTTCAACATTTCCATTTCAAAAGCAGAATTTTTAAAGCTATTAATAGTGTTACTATTTTTTCTCAAATTGTTCATTAAACATTGGTATTATTTATTTCTATATTTTAAAATAACTTGTAAATTTCAATTGATTGTCATATCTATTATCTTTTCTATTCTTTTCTCAAAAATTTAAAGTTTTACTGTTATTGTTTTAAATTTTGTTGTAGACCAATCAATAATGTAATAGCAATGACAGTCATATAACAAATATGATTCATGTTCTAGGAAGATATTCAGTGATATTTGTTTTAAATTGATGTTTGAATTATATATGGTATAAACAAGCATTAGCAAATAAATGATATTCATTCAAAATTATGTATTAAACTTTGAATGAAATTTGAAATTCAATCACAAACCTCTTCCATAGCTATACAATTCATTCATCTTCCCCACAATCACTTTTATCATTGGAGTTAAATTGTCCATTGCACAGATAATATATTTTGATTGACAAATTTCTCACTGTACATTAGAAATAGAAGTATCCTATCTACATTTATTGCATTTATTTGATAAATCTCTATAGGCAAAACTGATTGAACACTGTTGAGCATCTCAATCTGGCAGTTAATGAATACTATGATGATCTAAATAATAAGTTACAGAATGGCAATGGTGAAAAAAAATTAATTTTTCAGTTTTTATGGAAGAACTTTCCACTCCCTCTCTTTTTCTTACATACTCATCCTGGCACATTCTCCGCCATTTTGTTGGAAGTAGGGCTATACTAGTTTTTTTTTCCCAAATATAAAAAAATAATCACTGTCCTTATCCTGTTATATAAATTATTATCATTGTATTAATGGTACAACCCACTTGTAATGGAATGTCATTTTAGCACAATTGATACTGGAAAAAAGAAGTAGTCATCTTTTGCAGTTTATAAATACTAAAATCTCTCGTATCTTTCATATTATTGATGTTTGAATTCAAACTTTCTTCAATGACGCAACTATAGAAATACTTTAGGCCTACATTTGATGTGCGAAGTAATTAAGTGTATCTTTTAATGTTTTTTTTTTCTATTTGTATTCATTTTTCATACCAATTATCACACCAAATAAACCCTTTA